TCTCAAAAAAACCTCACTGCCAAGTTAAATTACCTCAATAAAGATTTATGTATGTAAGGCCGAGCTGTGGACTGCAACTCTATTAGGTTTAATTTAAGACCTTAAATAACAACAGCCTCCTTCAAACAATCCACCACACCAAATTAGATTTTATTGTTGAGACAACATTGTGATTGGATTTGCTGTGTTTTGAGGGACCAACGAGTCATAAGCTGCGGTTACATGGACAATATTTCTTCAACCAGATTAAAATTATTCTGATTAGAGATTCCAACTTAACTGTTTACATGGACACTAAATAAAGCGATCCAATAAGATGCGTCTTACATGCCCCAAAGCATTTAATCAGAATATAACTTTTTGACATAGCCTGCTGTTAAGGATCTAATCTGCTGGAAATATAACCGAAGAAGAAGAATTGCCAACGCCTGTTAATGCAATTTTCAAGGTACAATTTTAAAGATACAATTTTCAAGATTGTCTCCTGGGAACAATATTTGCGTTTCTGCTGTTTTGTTTCTGGCATTTAACAATACTTAAATCTTTTAAGGTCTCCAACAAAGAAACCTGTATTAGCCACAGACCAGTTTTGTTTTTATACCCCCATGTCTCTGCCCCTCATGGAAACTCCTTCACCTCACCTAATGTTACTCCCAGGTGGGTCAAACATGCGCAGAAATTTATTGCAACTAGAGAGAAACAATCAGATTAAGCATTTACATGGTTATTAGGCGGGTCAGTCTCTTCCAAGTGAGGTGGTTACATGAGGCATTTTTATTCTGATTGGGCTATTATTCCAATTATTGATGGAATATTAGGGTCTAAGTAAACACAGCTATACTGAGGGTTGTTTCCAAAATCAATATAAAATTCAGATTAATCTTACCTGCAGGACCACCCAAAATCTTGCTCACTTGCTCAAATTTCATGAAGAAATCTAAATTCATTGTATAATGTAGTCAGATCTGACATAAATTAGCTTACCAGACAAGACTGATAATCACTTACTGTGTTTTCATAAATGTTAATAGCACATCCAACATGTCTACGTAAGTAATATCCTGAGAAAAAAAAAAAACTAAAGTCATGCTGATACTACAACTGAAACTCCTACAACCCCTTTACACTTCTGTTAACCCATTTCAGGCAACTCTCTTATTTTCCAACAGAAAGTATCAATAGTAGGATAATGTACATCAATGAAAGGATTTTATCACCCATATCAGAGCATGACATTTCTGTAGTGTGTATACCTGTTAAGCTCCTTTTCAAGTCTGTTTTAATCATGTCTAAAATCTTTATTCAACATTGTTATGTATTGTTGTTACTGTAATTTCAAAAGTGTTTTAATATCATTTGTAATAGGTTACCAATCTCATATTTGGTGCCGGCGACATTGGCGGTGATAGTGCCTTTCTTCTTTTTGGTCCGCACCTTCCTCTTCCCACTGCTGTGGTAGGAGCCCACAGATGGCCCGTTCATGGGGGACGCTCCTTGATCCTCTGGGGGAGGAGACAGCATACAACAAAACTAGATACAGTCACAGCTTGTGCTCCAGACTGGGAGGGGAACTGCTGGAGTATTCTAATATATTTTCCTCATTTCTTAGTTGGGGTTGTTTTTGGAGCTGGGATGTAAATGAATTAGGCATCTAGTTTTGTTATAGCCGCCGTGTGTCTGTGTCTGTGTGTGTGTGTGTGTGTGTGTGTGTGTGTGTGTGCGTGTGCGATGAGCCGATTGACATTACTGAATAACCCTGTCAGTCCTGAGAAAGTTTCTCTTACTCACCTCCTTCATTGGGAGGGGAGGGCATCTCAGGGGCTGGAGGAGTGGAGGGGCAAGCCAAGCTTTCTGCCAGGCTTGGCAGGCGGGTGGGCCTCGCAGGGTACTCCCAGCACCCTCCAAGGGCTCTCTCACGCTTGCACTAGTTAGTCTTCCCTGTCTTGGGCTGTATGGACGATGTGTTTCAAGATGACCCAATGGATCATCTGAGCATCTCGGTGGCGCCCTTCAGCAGCATAAAGAGCAGCAGCAGAGTCTGAGTGGGCAGGGGGGTGGGGGGGTGGGGGGGGTGTAGCAGTGGTGGGGAGGAGTGGAGGAGTGGAAGGAGGGGGGAGGGCCTCTCGAGGGTCTGCACAGCCACAGCTTATTTACAGAGGGAGGGAGGGGGATGGACAGAGGGATGGATAGGAATGCCTGTAGAGGAGAAGACAACAGATATTTTACAGCTGCAGAACAGCAGTAGTAGGCCGACTGCTCAGGAAATGACTACAGTGCAGAATATGGATCTGTGTGTATGTATGCTGGACTGGAGTACATTGAACATGCTTTTGATGTAAAACAGTAGCAACAGCAATGCTTATCACAGGCTACATCGGTCAAACTGACACTGAGCAAAACAGTTCAGTGAGATCTCTATACTGCTGACACTGCAGTACTTCTAATGAAATAATCACTGAAATAATAAAGCTGTGTGATGTCCAATGGACTAATTGGTATTCCATGGAACCATTGTGAAATATTAATGTGGTTGTCAAGTAAAGAGTTTGAAGCATCTCATGCTTGTGCCAATTGGGTTTCATTGTATGGCTGAGGGGTCACTTCATTCAAACAGATGGCATCTTTACAGAGGGCTGTTAAAAGGGTGCTTCAGGCTATGAACAGTGTGGGAAATTAACACCAGTCATCCGCCAAATCCTGTTTGTTGGCTGTGGTCTGAGAGTGTGTCTTCAAACCACTTTTGGGGATAATAAACCATTGTTGAGAAGTCCTGTCACATTTATTGTTTTGCTGGCTGGGGCAGCATAGTGACTCAGTGGTTAGCACTGTTGCCGCACAGAAACAAGGGACGACGTTTGAGTCTGTCTTCTTTGTGTAGGGTTTGCGTGCTCTCCTGTTGTCACTGTGAGTTCTCGTGTCCGGGTACTCCAGATTGCTCCCGTTTTCAAAGACAAAGCAACATTCAGGTGGACTGGGGAGTCCAAAGTTCCAACAGGTATGAGCATGTGTGACTCCCACCAGTGATGGACTGGCAAACCATAAATTGATTGCCCAACTTACAGCATGCTTGGAACGATTCCAGCTACTTGTCCTCGCAAGTCAAATAGTGCATGTAGCTGCTTGATTCTGAGTCGACAGTGATCCATACTAATGGATTGAGTGGTTGGAAACCCATAAACATATGCAACCGGCGAGAAGCTGTTGCAAAAAAGCAATTCACAAGCTAAAAAGTAAACCACTGCCTGTACATCATCCTCTTTACAATTATAATAACGTTTTCAGTGCTAACTGTTGAGTGTAGGGGATACTTGATATCACATGTATGCAAGATATTTTTGATACTCTGCAGAGGAAAAATTTACCACAATCAGAAATGTGGATGCAGGGTATCAGTCCATGAGGTACAATAATATATATATAACCATCCATCCATCCATCGTCAAACGCTTATCCTGCGTACAGGGTCGCAGGGTCGCAGGGTATCCTGCGTACACCGGGCCGCCATTATATATATAAAACCACATAAACTTAATTATACGTAGCTAATACACACAAGTTAGGCTACATATACAGTAACCACCTCTGCATTCCATACAAAGATCAACAGTAGCCTCTAGTGGTGAGAATAAACAGAAAAACCCACTCCTCTACCAATGCTTACTGTCCACACACAGATTTGCCTGAAGGTGTATATGTACACATATACACATCAGAAAACACATGCTGACTTGAAAAGCAACCCTATTGATCCGATCAGCATCCTCGGGACAAATTAGAATGGGGCAACAATCCAATTAATTTCTCGATCTCGCAGTTGTCTTCACTGTCAGCCTCCTGGTCTGCCTGTGGTAAGCACAAGACATTGATCCTGGACAGGACAGAGGCTGGAATCAGCACAGAGGGGGAGAGCAACAACAAAGAGGCAGAGTGATAAAGTGAGGCAAGCTGCGCTGATGACAACCTGCCCCACCTCCCAGGGGTATACTGGCTGTGTATACAGGAGGCAGGGAACGCTGTCTCCATAGGATCTCTGGACTTTGGTGTCATGTAAACCCTCAGGAACAAAAGGGGATCTGCAACTAAACACCTACAAACATACACATATGTGGCTAGAATGCACATGCATACTTTAATGCAGTGGTTTCAAGTCTGACACTGCAGGCCTCCCCTCAGACCAAGCTTGGGAAATGGCGCCCCCCATCACATCTTTAGTTTACTTGGTATGTTTCACTCAATTCCTGGATGCCAATGGGATCATGATTATATTATTTGTTTTAGGAATGGGTTTTGTGTTCAATTTTTTTTCTGTTTTAGCCTGTTTTCATGGGTTTGGTTTTGGGTTCTGTGTTTCTGTAAGTTTTATTTGATCTTGTCACATTTAGGGTTTTGTGTTTTGTAGCTTAGTTTAGTCTTTTGTTAATTTGCATGTTCAAGTTTACTTAGTATCTGTCTTGTCTCTTATCTTAGTTCTTAGTCCTGCGTTTTAGTTCTTTGCCTCAATTCTTAGTCCTGTGCCTTAGTTCTTAGTCCTGTGTCTTAGTTCATGTCCTAGTGTTACTCCTGGTATGTTTACTACTGTGTTTGTTATTATTTTGGTCTTGTCTACCGTTTCATCCTAGTCCCTCTCCGTTTCTCTGTTTGGTTGTTGTTAGTTTCTGTCTGCTCCACCTGTGTTCATGGTGCCCTGTCTTTTCTCTCCTTGTGTCTGTGTCTTAGTCCTTAATCCTATGTCTCCATGTTAGTGTAGTCCTGTTTCCTTTTTGGTCCTGTCTCTGTTCCCTGGCCTAGTTTTGTTCTATGTAATTGTTCCCCGTTTTCTGTTTTACTTTGATAACTCTGTCCTTGTGTGTTCCCATATGCTTTACTTCCTGTTTTATTTTGTAGTGTTCAGTTCTCATGTGTGCTTATCTAGCTTTGTTTCCTGTTGTTTGATTGCTCATGTGTTTCACCTGTGTTTAATTGCCCTGCCTGCTTGTGTGTGTGTGGTGTGCCCCTGTATATATTAGCCTCAGTTCTGTTCAGTCTTTGTGGCATCCTTAGTCTATGTTGAGTGTTTAGCTGTGCTTTGTTCCTTGTGGAGTTCTTTGTTTTTGGCTCACCCTGTTACCTTGGATTAACTTTTTTGTTGTATTTATTTCTGATTCAGCATTGTTTGGACTCTTTGCCTTGTGCTGTATGGAAGCCCGTGCAGTTAAGTTTTTGTTTAAAAAAATATTTTGTTGAACTGAATCCTCCTGCCTGTGTCTGCGTTTGGGTCCACACCTAAGATTGCATTCAGCCATTCCCATGACAATTTGATCCTATAGATGTTTGAGCCAAAATAGCCTAATACTGCTGTTTGACATTACTTCTGACTACACCAAATAGTTTTAAAAAAAGGTCTGTCCTAAGGCATTTATTAGTTTCTTACTCTGATGGGGGGCAAACAGTTCCCAACAACTTGTGTATCTCTGAACTCTCACGCACGTAGGCTATTCTATGTGATCTCCTTTTGATAATTAATGCAATAAGTAATGTAATATTGTTTCACTTCCATTCACTGAGCCTCCCCTGAAACTGTTTGGAGCCCCCCTAGGGAGGCCCAATTCACACTTTGAAAACCCCTGTTCTAATGCAAGTGATCTCTAAAAAATGTACACAATCCCAAGACAAGTGCTGTGATGTTAATTAATCTAATTATTCTACATAATTTGCAGATTATTAATCTTCATAATTTAAATAACAGTTATTTTATTGCTCTTTTGTATTTGATCAACTTTAAATATCAGCACCAAAATTGTTTTCAGCTACAGTAAACATTCTAAATTAAACTTTTCATGCTACCTTGATAACTGAAAGATAAGCACATTCACAAATAGAAATTTAGTTATCAGTGATTACATTTTCCTTGGGCCTCTTAAAGGGAGAGTAAGTGATTCTGCGGAAGCATTGTCTATATTTGAACTCAACTGTCAAACAAATACACTCCTCAATTCAGTGCTCCCTCCGAAGTTCCGCCCCTTCAAGGTTCCTCCAGTGTCAAAACGTTCGCCCTTGCCTGGTCATATAACTTTCTCCTCTGTTTATACTCTTCAGACCTTTTCCTCTTTGGCTGTTTCTCTGCCATCTCTCCTTCTTAACACTGTCTGGAATCCAGTATGTTCGAATGTGCCAGTGTACAGAACTCTCTCTGTTACTGCCCCTGTGTACGAGCACTAACGCCACCTTTTTCCTGATTGGCTGGAACAATGTTATGTGGCAAGGTCCCCACCACTTTCTTTGTTTTCCATTTGACAGAGCCAGGACTGTGTTTGAAAACCAGATTTTTTTTTCAGAGCACACACAAAACAGAAAGCTAGCGAACTGAGGCTGAATTTAACAAAAAGTGTATTGGCTTAAAATCACTAACTATCCCTTTAAGAGTAAATGGTCAACACAGCTTTCTATTTAGGCTTGTTTGCCTGACTACCATAAAAGGTAGTAGATAATTTTGTTTCGCATTAGTGGATGACCCAGCAAAAAGAGGCTCTGTCATGTTTTGCTTATTTGTCTTAGTGGTAGAGCCACATGACAGAAGTGGGATTTCAATGTAAACTGACCCCAGATCAGAGTAACTGTTATCACAGACTTATAGTGGGACTCCAGATGGACATCCTGTTGTAACCTCACACATGAATTCAGCTCAGTGACCATAATCACGTTATACCCTTCCTACTTGTAAGTTTTCCTGTCCAATAAAATAGAAAGGATACAATATTTAAATTGCAATAGGACAAAAATGTGAGTAGAAAATAATTACATTTACAACTGCTATACCATATTTATCTACACTGTCCTATATAGCATACCATATTATATGCTGAAGCATCTTTGAGCTGCTGTCCTGGGATATTTCATTTTACTTTTCTAAGATTCTGGGGAATACAACATGAGAACATCCACTAAATGGGGTTCAGACCTTCTAAGCATTACTTGCCAATATATTCTACTGCTAGCATCATCACAATTAATCCTTAAGTGCAGTATTAACAGCAAGGTCTTAACTGAATCCCTTCCACTAAGCACTGTTTGTACCTACTGTTAATCCTCTGATGCAATGACACTTTCTCTCCAACAGAGTGAGCCAGAGGGCCGCCACAGCAGAGCAGAGCTGAATGGGCAGAACTCCTATGGATGCTGAGCTCATGCACTTTGCCACAGACAACACAGAAAGGCTTCATTGTAGAGAGTCAGCTCTTCCTGCTGCTCAGCTGCAACCCCTGTCTCTCTCACAGGCCCTAAATGCATGACAAACGCATGTCTGTCTTTCAGGGCATTGTTGTTAATGTGACTATCACGTTACTGTGTGTCATGAATATATATTTTAAGTCTGCAGCATTTTGTCTACATTGCAATCATTTACTGAAACAATATCAGCAAGAAGCAAAGTGGTTCCAGTTCAAAACTCTATCAAGAAATTCATCTTCACACAGATATTATCCCCCTATCATAAGGCAATGGCACTTCAAAAATACTGTGCGCCTTTTTATATCAAAAGCAAATGCATCAGTGGCTTTACAAAAAGCGTGCCAAAGGAGAAGCTGAACCAAAGCGGTAGACTGTCTATTCATGACAAGCAGTGTCACACCTATTACACAAGTCCCTTCAACAACCAGCAGTACATCCCTGAGGGGTTTGTTTTATGTCCTTTTGCCTGTGTTGCATGAAACTACATCTTGAAAGCAGTAGTCAAATACAGGATCAATAGAGAGGGTTGGGGAATCACCACTTAGCCTCATGTTATGCTGAAAAAGGATTTTCTGTACATGCAGCATGCCTCGGTCTTGCCATTACAGCAATGCTGGGACCTCGGGGTATGTATAGCCATTTAAAAGGGCAGAGACACTGGCTAAGAATCGAGACACATGAGTACTATTACACATCCTTAACTGAAGAAAAGCAAATGCAAACAAAATACTTTTCCAGTAGAAAATTGACCTTTTGTCATATAAATAGCAAACCCTTTTCACTGGACATTTTCTTACCCTTAAGGGTAGAATGCCAAAGTGATTCTGTTCAAGGTCTAAAACATACAGTATCCTTGAAAGATTCCTTTTTGTAAAAACTAGGCCTATTTCTACTTTCTATTATTATCTATTTGACCAAAACCACAACATCCTCTGTCCTCTCAGGAAAAATGATAGCTGAGTTTACGGACTACTCTTACAGGAAAGTAGTTGGTTTAGGATTGCCAGTGGATCTAAAATTATCTCAAACAAGTGACCCAACTCTGGCTTCGTGCCTTCTTCCAGATATGAGGAGGAATAAGTGTGGGAGCAAGCAGCCCACGGGGTACTGAAATACACCAACAAACACCAGCTGACTGTTGAGCTTAACTTTATCAGAGAGAATAGACAGAAATGCAGGCAAAATGGTTCAATGTAAAAATCGGCCACTGCATTAGAAACACTTTTAAACATTTAAAATAATTACAATCTTGCCTGAGCTTTTTTTTTTGTACGACAAAGTGGAGCTAATAACTTACGGTTGCTACAATGTGCACATAAGTGTTTGTTCAAAAGCACTGCACCATTCTAGCAAAATAAGCTTTACACATACAGAGCCGTATTATCAACACCTATGAATATGGGTTCAACTGTTAATCAAACACTTTGCTCTAAATTCTTACTTAATCCTGATGGTTACCAGATAACACCGGGTTTCAGTAAGTGATCTAAAGTCGAAAAAAAACAAGCAAGAATGTGTAGATATGAGAGAACCAGTGTCCACAGACTATTCACTTAACCTTTAATTCACTGAAAATAAAAACACATTAAAAAGGGAAGGCCACTGCCAAGCAAAATCTACCAGGTAAATTAATCAACTGGCTGCTGACACAGACAATATGTGAATTTATATGACAAGCAGGACTACTCTCCTAACTGGGTTTACAATCAGAGGTTAATTTTCCTGTATAGTATTTTGTCAAAAACTGCTGGGAATATTGCATTTCTGATTGGCAGTTACCTATTTTGTTAACATTAGTTCAGTCAAAACAAAAACAGAACAAATCATGAACATTTCTAACTCATACTGAGACATCAATGAATGGCTAATGCCTCTCATCAAAAAGATTCACCTAATAGGTGTTTTTCCATGTCCTCAAACCCACCAGTAAAACTGCATGTGGTCAAAGGTCTGCATGTCTTCTTGCAAATACACTTGACTTTGAAGGATAGCATCACTCCCCTGCATGTCAATTTAAAAATCCCAGTCCAAAGAGTGAACAAATAGGCCAAACCTACCTATATTTATGGTGTTCTCTCACATCAGAGGTGTCAAATGGCAACCAAGTTGAATTGCTTAGATAATATAGGTGCAATACTGCAACGAATATCCCGTATTAATCCAAAATCTTCAGCATGCCAACTGTAGCCTCAATGAAAATGAAAGATTATACATATCATATCCGTCTTAATAGCCTTATCTCTGGGATATGTCCAGGAGGCAGGATACCATACAGAACTCATATGTTATGCTGTTATTATTATGTAATCCATCTGTTCTGTTGGGAATGATTCAACTCCAGGGTGCTCTATCAGCATGTGGTCCGTTAAGTGGCACACTGGACTACAAACAGAACAGACTAAATCAAATGGCTTTTCAAATACAGCATCCCTCGTGTAATTATCCAGGGTCTGAGCCTCCCAAGCTAAACCTCAGCAATAGTATTGCATGCCAAGACAGACTTCTTAAGGATACTTGCAAAGCTAACCTGAGCTAAGAAGCTATGCTACTAAGAGCAGCGAGGGCACCTATGCCTGTCACAGCATAGCGGTCAATATGGTATCTTCCGGACCAGTGGAAGAATAGTAGGCCACCCCTTTTTGCAGATTTTGTCTTTGACAGATCTAATTTTGCATGTAAAACCTTGGATATAAGGGTTGTTGTTGTTTGTTTTCAGGAAATTTTATCACAATGTCACAATGTCTAAGCAGCTGTATTAACGTTAGTGCTATGAATTAGTTGCTAGCAATCAGTAGCTAACGTTAGGTTGCTAGCCACTTGTATAGGTCAGGTGGAGGATCAAACAGGGAAACAATGTGGCTATGTTGCTATTAACTTGCTACCATCAACTGTAGCAGCGGTGAGGTTAACGTTTAACTGCCCTACGAATGAGGGCCTTCACATTTCACGTTGCTTCCAAATGAAATAACAAATCCCTGAATGAGATACCGTCTATTAATTCACAGTAAACACAAATGACCCTGGGCTACTCTGCAGTTAGCTTAGCCGCACGTCCTAGCAAAGGATGGAGAGGCGAAAGCGAAGTAGCCCGTTAACGTTACCTTATTTGTTCCAGGCACTGGCAGTGCAGCAGCTCTTTTGCTGGTCTCATCCGACACAGCCGCCGTTATTACGGGAGATACCGGGATCTCTTTAGAGAAACCGACAAGTCCCGACAGTATTTTCAAGACTATAACAATGTTATGGTGTGTAACGGCGTTACTACTAAAGATTGGCGTTGGTGGACAGACATAAACACAAAAAAATCTGTAGAGATCTTGTAGACCTCTGTGTGCTGTGAGTGCTGGAGCGAGTCCATGGGCAAAACCATTCGCTCTGTGAGAAGGGGGGGGGGGTGGGGGGGGTCGACCTGGAAGAAGTGCTGAAGTTTGCATTCCCAATCTGGTACTAACGTGATGTTTACTGTACCGTAGGACTTATATGTTAAGTCAACGCGCGTTATTTTCAACTGACAATTAGTTGCGAGTGAAAACAAAGGTCTTACCACAGCTGCAAGATATATTTCCTTTAAGTCATTATTTAAGGTAGTTTTTCCGGTGCAGCTCTTCCTGCACAACGCGCTGATACAAACACAGGGAAGCTACCTAGCAACTGTGTCGCTGACCATGGTGCTAAAAAAAAAACAACCCTGCCAAATATGGGTGCGACTGTGCGACCCTCTCAGAGGTCATTAACGTGCCACTCACTTCTCATTACCTTTATTTTATCTTATTTGGTTGCTTTGTGGAAAACAAAGATGGTGAGTTCTTGTGTATTAATGTTTTCATTATAGCAAAATTTTATATTCACAAGTGTAGTTTCTTTTTAAAGCTGCCCCAAGTTTTATAGCATTTATTAATAAATTGATGGGTTTTTTCGATTTTTTGATTGTATCCCTTTAAATATTATTATTATTCTTTATTTTATTTTTTTGTTTGCTGCTTAGATTTAATTTAATGTTAGGTTTATGTGACATTACCAAAGATGCCTGTTATTTAAAGATGTCTATAAAATGGAAAAAAATACTTCTTATTGCTTATTTATGGTTTTAATAATTTGGTAATATTCCTCAAAATGTGTCATATAATCGTTCTCTCTTATGCTACTCATATTTTGTGAAGTAGGCTACATATATGTTCTAAAGAAAGAAGTTTTTTGTCACCTGAGAACTAAAGTTAAGGTTTGGTTTAGATTATTTTATATACTTTAATCATGTTCAATTGAATACTTTTTTTTTCCTTCCATGGCATTTGTTCCCACTTTTTGACTGGTCCTTTTGACAAAAAGTAATCAAATGCATTCCCCCGCAAGGCAAGTTGAAGTATTTCAATGCCTCAAAGTCAAGTGTGAAGTCCTTTTATATGACAACCACCTTGGATAACAGGCAGGTCTGAACAACTGGCTTTTGATGCAAAGTGTTAATCACACCAAAGGTGGCACAAAATCCCTCAGATGTAGCCTGATGTCTTTGGTAAAAGTCATTATGTAACATTTTGCTCACAGGCAGCTACAACAAGAGTAGGAGTTAAACATTAGGCCTAGCACTTTCCCTACAAAGAAAGTAGCCTAAATATGTTTGACATAACGCAAAATCTTTAGAAGAAAGAAGCAGTGCAAAAAGGTTACAAGTGGTGGGCCCATACTGTAGCCTGCCTCACCTCTCATTTATGTGTTATGTTAAATAATAGATTCGGCCCTACGTTATTTTAAAAACGATTACCTTGGGGTTTGTGGCTGTAAGTCATTCGCTAACTTGTGCAAACATTTTTTTGACATTTTACAGTGCATGTGTACACTAATAATTAACAGTCACGCGTTGTGAGCAACTCTAGCACCTGCAAGACTTGCAGATTTAACTTAAATCACAATTAATGCTCAAAAGGTAAATCAAGATTAAGAATTAGGTATTTTGTTTTTCATTTGCATTTTAAATTTACCCAAGGATTGGCAATTACCTATTCAGTTAACAGTTTTCATATAATAAAAAGAAAAATTATTTTAGGGAAAAGGAGATTAAGACACACACTCCTGTCTACATCAATGGAGCTGAAGTGGAGCAGGTCAGCAGTTTCAGGTGTCATCTCACATCTCTACGCTAGTGAAGAAAGCCCCAAAAGGACTGTTTTCTCTAGGAAGCTTAATTCCCATGCCAAATTATTGTCAGCTTTTACAGAAGAGCAATAGAAAGCATCCTGGCCGAAAACATCACAAACCAGCATCCGATGTGCATGGCCCACGACAGGAAGGCTCCACAGCCGGTGATTAAAACAACTCAGAAAATCATTAGTAGGCCTACCCATCTCCTGAGCATCAGTGATATCAGTGAGGTGAGGTTCCTATGCAGAGCCCAAATGATACTAAAGGACAGTCCCCACCCTAGCCGACATGCTGCCTTCTAGGAAGAGCTATAGAAGCAGGCCATCTGCTGTGTACCACCAGACTGCAGAGCATCTTTCCCCCCAAGCTATCAGACTTTTAAACTCAAATTCATCCTCAGCACTGCTCCATTGAATAGGTAATAGTTTATTTATTTTTATGATTGCTTTTGTATTACTGTATACATGTACTGCTACTTAGCAGAAGGTAGTGATAAACCTAATTTCACTTTACAACCTGTTGTAATGTGACAAATAAACCTACTTTGTAGCCTACCTTGAACATTTCCTCAAACCCAGACGTCTACTAACGGGTAATGCCTCTCTTCACAAGGATTCACCCAACAGGTGTTTTCATGTCCTCAAATCCACCGGCAAAAATGCGTTAGGTCAAACGTCTGCATGTTTTCTTGCAAATACACTTGACTTTGAAGGATATAATGTCCTGTGTCCGCAACGTTGTTTGTAACTGTTCTCTCTAAAATGCTGCATTTATGTTCTATTGGAAATACAGATAGCCTCTGCTCAGAAACATAAGTCACGCTTGCAAAATTAAGGATTTTCATCACTTCATTTTGAGATTTGAATTCTCGACTGTTACAAGTGACCAGTGTTGGGCCGTAAAAATATTATTTTTTCCAGTAACTAGTAGTGTAAGGGATTAGGCTCCTATTTCCAAAACAGTAATAACATTAGGCCTACAGTTAGGTCTACGAATCCAAGTAACGCTGCGTTACTGCGTTACCAGAACGCACCATCCTTGACGTGACTGCGCGACTGCTCGGCAAGTTCAAGTCGAGAAGCCGGTTGTTCAAGTCGGGTGCCAAAAAGTGAAAGGAAGAATGGAGAACGAGGGAGATGGGCGTTTTTCTGACATCTGTAAGTAGGCTACTGCCATTATTGTGTCACAGTCAAAGATACAAAGAACACTGTCCTGTGTTGTAAACTTTGTGCGACCAGCAACAAGCTTTCAACCGCGAACAATTATACATCCAATTTATTGAGGCATTTGCTAAAGCAGCACAGCAACGTGAAACTCATAGAGAGGAACTTCGGTGTCGTGCCCGCAGAGATTTGGCCCCTCGCGGGAGCGCGCACAGCTAAAGCGGAAACTGCTAGATGCTGTAGCCTGGTGATTTTGTACGGCAAAGTAGGCCTACTGTTTAAAAACGATATAGGCTAATATTCTTTGTGGGTTTTATCAATGGTGATAAATGATTCGAAGTCTACCCTATATTTTATGAACGTTTAAAATCATAAATAGCCTATTTATTAGCTAGGCTAAATTTAGTTGAAGTCACATGCCTTTGCACTGATAGGCCGATACGAGGCTATCTTTTGATTAATCTCTCGATAATTCTGACAGCAAAGTATTTGGTGTTCTTGATTGATGTGTTGTTAAGGATTTCTGACCGTTATAAACAGTTATCCCAAAATTAGGTTTTTAAATGAGGGGAAATTAATTAATTAAGGGGAAAAAATAAATGTCGGATCGGTTCTCAAATGAACTCTTGTCAGTGCTGAGAACGCCATTAGATTCCTAATGGCCAAATGGTTAGGCTAAAGCATTATTCGGTAGGACTGATTGTGGCTAAATTAGGCCTACATCACCTGGCATTTCAGCTTAGGTCGTTATTAAATGTAGGCTATATGAAACTCACACTGTCCAACAGCCAGCCAAACCAGCAAAAATATGTGGGATCAGTGTGCACAGCATGTGTCTGAAAGCAGGTAAGAGGTGGATGCATTAGGGTTCTCAACAGAACAGTTGGAGGCTACCTACCGAGATTAGTATCCACCTGTCTAAACCGCCCAAAATATGAGCTGGTAACAGTGTTTGGCCCTCAAGTGTCTGAAAACAAACTTATCAGGTGGATGCATTATTTGGCAAAACTGGTTTCTACTTGCAGAGATTTGCATCCAGCTCTTTTTTCAGCCAAGAAGATTATTATATATATGCAATTATCAATGTCAAGTCTAAACAGCCCAAAATGTGAGCTGGTAACAGTGTTTGGCCCTCAAGTGTCTGAAAATAAACGTAAGAGGTGGATGCATTATTTGTCAGAACTGGTTCTCTATACCTGCCGAGATTTGCATCCAGCTCTTTTTATAGCCAGGAAGACTATCATATATATGACATTTTTGGTGTCAAGTCTAAACAGCCCAAAATATGAGCTGGTAATAGTGTTTGACCCGAAGGTGTCTGTAAATTAACTTGGAATCAAATCTCGACAATCAGCTGTTCCTCCCGTCCTGCGCCTCTTCTTCTGTTGCTGCTGGTAGAGAGAGGAGTGGCTGGTTTGTCTCAGCCAACAGCTGAGTTTATATGTGCCAAATTTGTACATGGCACTAAGATGAACAGTTAGACTACAGACTGACAGCTTTTGTAACAATTCACTACTAGCCGAGCTAGCAATGTGCTAGCAATGACTCGCGCTAAAGTAAATTTAGTGCGAGTTTACTTTTATAAATATTCTTGCCAACAAACATAAGGACTACCCATAGCTTTTGTCTGAATATTCAGAATCGCTGGGTCACTGTGGCACAAATAATAATAATTTTGATTTTTAGATACCGAGGGATCACTGGTCAAAGTGACAGAGTCTGTTAAGTAAAGATTTGCTAAATATGTCTCCGATGGATACAACAAATAACTCTCGTGTTGTATGACCGATGTGGGGTATGAGTGTAGACGATTTCGACCGGCACCTGAATGCAGCCTTTCACCCGTCAAGTCTTTTTTGTGGGTATTCCCATATGACTTGAACGCAGCACAAAACGACAGCAGGCAGAGGTGAAAAGTCTGGATCATGTTTTCATTCCAGTGGAGGCATACTTGATCGACAAAGGACACTGTTAATAAAGATCAACAGGGCTGTTGACGTCGAGGTAACTGTCCACAGAGGGAAGACATTGATGTTGTTGTTAGCCAACCAGCCAGCACAAGCTGAAATTTGTTAGCTAGCTAACGGAGGACCCTGTTAGCTAACCGCCACCATCATCGCTCCGAGCCAGCTGTGCATCGCCCTGTCTTCCTACGATGGGAAATACAGCAACTGCCAAGAAAGGCAATGAGCAAGAAAGCGGTGAGCACCTGAAAACCACCAAGCTGGCCTGTTAGCCATCTAATGTTAGCTATTGTACAGCGTGAGCTAGCTTATTATGAAGTCAGTGGAGAGCAGCCTTTAGCAGTTCTTGTCCAGTGTTAACAGACAGTACAGGAATATGGGCTGCAGAGAAGAACCATCTTTGGTAGAGAAATGTGCAAGGTGTGTTAGCTGCCTCATAATGTTTGTTTATCTTACTTGGAAACAGTGCCACAGACGATGCAGCTAATCAATGAAAGTGACACATGAGCTAATAACAGTGAGGTCCTCACCATCCTGTTTTCCACAGCAGTGAATGTAAAGGCAGACCCTTGACTCCACGAAATGCAATCTTTTCTAATTGCTTAACACTGTAATCTTTAACTAAAGTTATCAAGGTACCATGTTTAATTTACAAAGAGCTAATATCACTTGCCTGCAGCCAGATAACATCTGCAAACACTGGTTTCTACTAAATCTGCAGTTCAAGGCCTAGTCACTGCTAACAACAGGTACATAATAATGACTAACAGACAAGTTGAACAGAAGGGTGGATTCTAGCATTGTTTTCCAAACAAGGCCTGCAAAATGGCTTGAGTCAGTTTCCATCCAACCTGGTTAACGCTCAGCTGTCAACAAGTTTACTGTAAGTCAAAATGTTGTGCCTTGATCACTGCTTTATAACAGTGACATTAACCTGTTGTGTTTTTGCTATAACATCAAGGAAAGGAAGCTTCCTTCCGGCTCAAATTGCACCTGTTGAATAGCAGTTTTGCAATATTAAGTGCCCCACCAATAGCTTGAAAACAGTCGCCAGAGGGCACTCTGTTCTGTTTAGTGTGCATTTGTCAGTAATGATCAAAGTAATCCACTAAACTGAACCATGCGTAGTGGTCTGTCTGGGCTGATCTTGACCTGCTTTCTGATTGGCAGCAGTCCATACAGTCTCGCAGCCTTATGACTCAAGCCACCTGTAGTTTCTGCAGGGAGGGGCCGAGAGTTGTGTACAAAAACTCTGTGATGCGAATGGCAAACTACAGAAAGACATTGCTGACATGTCATTTTGGTCATTTATATTTCCAGAGCAGCCCCAACACTGGTGTAACAATAAGACAAACCCACATTTCTAGTACAGCAAAAAAGAAGAATGCAGCAAGAGGGTTTGGAAGGGCGACTTTAAGCATCGGAAAGCTCTTTGAGGAACTGTATGAATAAACTTGACCACTAGAGAGCATGATAACCGGAGATAACTACTTTCCTGACTGTCAGTCAGTGGGTGTTACAGGCGTACCGTTTCCTTATCAGCACTCTGAATACACCACAGCTGTGCAATGTTTTATGACATAACGTTAAGAGGATTGCCTTTTTGGGTGCTTTGCTTACTTAGTATACCTATGTCAAAACAATGTCAGAATTTGCATGGGAGACCAATGTGTGTTTTCAAATGACACCTCACAGTAGTAGTAGACGTGCAGTTGGCCGCTGAAACTGAAACAGAGGACTTGAACAGGAAGCTTAACTTCATGTGGTTAGCCAAGCATTGCAATGCATACAGGAAGCCATAATCACTCATTGGTCTTCAGTCTGAAAACAGTTGCTTTGCAAGTGAGCCTTTTCTCTCACGCATCAAGAAATTATTCTGAAAATGGCCCAGGGAAAGGATCATTCCTTTGTGAGCCGTATTTTCAAACATCGTAAGAGTACCCAAGACCAAAGAGGACAGGAGAGTGAGGTGCCTCGTATCTCTGAGTTCACCATCATGTGGGATAAGTTGAGTAAGTGCAGTGTTATGCTTTTACACTTAAAAATATGTGTCCGCCACCATCTGCAGCTCTGAGCAGGACGAGTCTCAACTTGCGTTTGTAGTTCTTGTTTGCAGGAAAACTGATATACAGTGAGCTTATGAAATAAACCAAATATACATATGGTTTTTTTGTTCATATAGATGATTGTTCAGCTAGTGATCAATTGTTTGTCAGGTCTTTTCGAGCAGCAGCCCAAACCTTTTATTGTTACCTTCATCGCCAGGTTCATGATTGCTGCATATGTTCACACATTCTTGATCTACCAGAGACATCCGTAAAAGCAGCTTAGGCATAACACATTGTATAACAGGCCATTTGCGGCACAGCAGTGGCTTGCATCATCTTAATATCTCTCTCCTGTCATATTTTTGTACTGTTTTGCAAGTATAAAATGTGTGTTTTTATGTATGCTTTTTACAATGTCTTTTCAATCACTGTTTTATATTCTGTTGAATGAATGTTTTTAGTTTATTTTACCCAGTGTAGGATAGTCAAAGCTGCCACCAATACTGGTAAGAATGAAAGAGAAAGTTGGATTTGAATATTGAAGACCACCTACTGTGCAGAATCAAACCCATCCATCACATCTATCGTCAACCGCTTATCCTGCGTACAGGGTCACGGGGAGAATCAAACCCCTTGTGCAGAAATATTCACTTATTACCTAATTGTAAAGAACTTAGAAAATTATGTTTTTGATGAAATTCAGCAGTATAGAACTTACCCTTGACTATTGGTTTTAGCTCATTTTCAGAGACAATGGGAGAAATTAGTCTTCCAACTAAAATAAATCTTGTTTCAATGTAGAATAATTTAATCTGTAACATCTGTCAGGTGGTAGAGATGCCTTACGTTGTCTTCTTCAGTGTCATTGTTGTCTGTTGCATTTAATCCACTTGAATCTCAAATGTTCTTGTTTTAAGCACTTCATAAATGTTTCTTCCTCTCTTTCTCTTCTCCATCATTTCCATCCATGAATGTTCCTGCAAAACCCTTGGTGAACTGTAGAGACTTTTGGTATGCTCGTTTTTCCATGAGCCATCCTAAGTCACAGAGAGAAGGCTTATTCTGCAGTTTAGGCCTGCCAGGCATGTAATAGCCGATATATTTCTGAGATTGAGGTTAATTAGGATAGACTGTTAGCATTCCGCTTCCACATATATGGCGTTCTATCAATGCCTAGGTATGCATTTAAATCAGCAACCGCATATCAAGTGCACCACCAGCTAGACATTAGATACTTGCCACGACTCTGTGACTTTGGACATCTCATGTCTGCTGTGACTTTCACAATGTCTGTCTAATGCCTGCACTGTAGTCTCAGTTGTGTTCTGCATTTTGTCTTTTTTTCTCTGCCCTTTATTACTGCCTCCCCACTCCCTGTTACTCCCACCTACTCCTGAAAGGGATGCAGAATAGCTTATCTCTGAATTGGCCAATTCTGTAAAGTCCATAAGAGCTCTTTGCATCACTTTAATAATTAAAATTTCCTGCTTAGACGTGTGGTTTTGAGTTTTGTTTAGGAGGTATTTTTTTGCTGTTTTGTAAAGGATAGTCTTGCATCCCCAGTACTTGACATTTGCCTGACCTTAAAATGCATTTCCTTTTCTGAACATGTGAACTGCCTTTGTTTATTTTCCTGAACATGTTAAAGTGCCCCACTTTGTTATTTCCCTCAACAAGTTACCTGACCATGAGTATGTAAGTGCCAAAACTGGTAAATCACGCTTCTTTCTCTTTTTGTAGTGAAAGAGTTCTTAGCTAAAGCCAAAGAAGATTTTTTAAGAAAATGGGAGTGTCCACCACACGTAAGTTGTGCGCTGTTCAAACTTTCATTTCCCCAAAACACTGTTTTTCAGAAGGCAAATGTATTTATACATTTCGTATGATAGCACTTAGCCACTTCCTGGCTCAGATCTTGTTGACTTGAATGCTAGCTGATTGCGTAATTGTACTTGTAATGTGTTTTTTACTGTTTCTTCAGAGCACAACGGGCCTGGATGACTTTGATAGGTTCAAGACTCTGGGCACTGGCTCATTCGGACGAGTTATGCTTGTGAAACATAAAGAAACAAACCAGTTCTACGCAATGAAAATCTTGGACAAACAAAAAGTAAGTGTATGGCTTTAAAGAAAACAGTTTACCCGTCTCATAAGAACTAGTGTCGTAAATCAGGTTAGTGTGTGAAAATCAAACTGCTGCATGCTTGACAAATGCTGTAACTACATAAATGCGGTGCATCTCATAAAAGGAAATGGAGCGTTTCCTCTCATGCACAGCCAGCCTGTAGTCATCTAACACCTCAGAGGCGCTTCATATGAGAGTTTCAATCTTTAAATACTGATGTGAGAGTCGTAGGAGAAGGTTGCCGTCTCCTCCGTGCATTGCTCATGTAGCAGCACTCTGTTCCCTTGAATTTAAAAATTAACACAGAGGTAAACATGTCTGGCTTTCTGTTTTAGCTGTAGTGCTGAAAGACTTTCCTTGTTATGGTGTATGGCCACCCACATGACTTCTTTTTTTGTTTCTTAACACTTTGTATGCTGGGGGGGGTTATTATGCTAGTAATCCTGTACATTTCACGTTGTTTTTACTGCCTTACAGGCAGCCCTTGTTTGCATTTAAATAGTTCAGTACAGTATGCAAATAAATTTGCAGAATCTTGAAACTTGTGTGAGATGCAGTATGTAATAATTTATTACAGTAACTGTCATAGCTAGGTGGTATTATCATTGTGTGATAAACTGTGGATGGAGTTCATGTTTGACAGTCTGCTGTGCTGACAATCTTGTTTGAATCTCTGATGTGTCAGACTTGAGAATCAGCCTGTGCATGGCAGCATTTTTTAAACCAAGGATCTAGCAAATTAGGTAATAATTTGATAATATGGCTTGTGGATATGAACACCTGACTCTAAAGTCTTGTATGTCAGAGCTTCCCACCAACTCATGAATGCACCAGAATGGCTGGCTTTTCAAATGTATTGCACTTTCTGAGAAAAAATCAAGCCGACTTTGTAGTTCACTCTTGAGCAAGTTTTAAGTTTGTGCAAGTTGACTCCTTACTGCAATGAAAAGAAGCTAGTAGCTGACTGGAGAGTTGGACTGACACAACCGGGGCTATAACATGCAAAAATCCTTTTGTGTACGTTCACTTTTTAATTAGGCATACCGAGCTCTCAGAAATCATGAAAAACCTTTTGGGTACTTTTATGTTGTCTTTTGGAAATTATGCAACACACACATACTCAGTTATCAAGAACACACTATACTTAATTTAGCTAATGTACTTATATTATTGTGTATTTTTTGTTTAGGTGGTGAAGTTGAAGCAGATAGAACACACACTAAACGAAAAGAGAATACTACAAGCTGTCTCCTTCCCTTTCCTCGTCAGATTGGAGTACTCTTTCAAGGTACATGCTGGCACCCACCTCACCAACTACATGGTTTTCACATACCAGCGTTTTTATACCAAGGAATCCTAATGCTAACCTAGCAGACCTTTTGTGTTCCCCTTCCACTTGGCTACAGTTGGTACTGTCCATCTCAAAATATCCAGGAAGCATCAGTTTTATTTCCCAACCTGAAGAGCGCTTATCATTTAACATGTGATCAGTCGTTATTGCCCCTGCTTAAAAGTTTCTTGCTTTGATTAACAGGACAACTCAAACCTCTACATGGTGATGGAGTATGTGCCCGGTGGAGAGATGTTCTCCCACCTCAGACGTATTGGAAGGTTCAGGTATAGTGTACATAGTATAGTATTTTATTTTTTATTCGGAGGGTTGTGTCAGCCACTAATAGCTGGACAAAGACTCACTGCTCACTGTGGTCTGACAAGGTCATGCATGAAATAGCTGGAGACAGGCATCAGTTTTAAGGTGGCTGTACAATGAATGATTTGAGTTTGCTCCTTCACTCAGAGGAGATTTGTGTTCACATATTGTGTCTATGGTGTCTGACTGTCCACACTCCCATCTTTCAGTGAAAACCATGCAAAATTTTATGCAGCTCAGATAATACTCACCTTTGAGTACCTACACTCCTTGGACCTCATCTACAGAGACCTGAAGCCTGAAAACCTGCTCATAGATCAACATGGGTATATCCAGGTACACAATCTTATGTAAAGTTTATAATAGAAAAGTGAACTGAATAGAATGGTAACACAAGGTAGCGCAAATTAACATATTTAGTCAGTTTGACCCAAGTTAGGTATTAAAAAAAAAAAACCTTACAAACACACATAGGCTTCTGTTAATAGCCATGGTTCTTAATCGCAGTAAATGTACACTTTGCCCTTAAGTACTTACTTTTCTTATCACGCTCCTGTTGTTCTTTCTTCAGGTCACAGACTTCGGCTTTGCCAAAAGAGTAAAAGGCAGGACCTGGACATTGTGTGGAACTCCTGAGTACCTGGCTCCAGAGATCATCCTCAGCAAGGTGAAACCTTTAAACCCAGCACAACCCGAATACATGTTGTTACAATAACAGTAACCAGTTGTTCATCATTTTGGCTCTGTACTCAAGCACACTGGATTTCAGATGAAAAAATGACAACGAGGTGTTAGTGCCAACCTTCAGTTTTTTGGGTCTTCACATTCCTATCTAGAAATATGCAGAGAGCGAAATAGAACGGGCTGACCGGAGCAGGACCATAACAAGAGGCGCATGGCGCTTGTGATTGGTGACAACGGAATGAATTTGTAACTGCATGACTGTTTAAAACGGATCAGATACGCTGTATAATTAATAGGGCTGACCCTCAATAGTCGAAGATTCGATGCTTCAATGGGCAGAGCCTGATACAACTGTCAATCTCACAGTTGAAGCTTCGCAGCGAAACAAGGATCATGCCATTTTGGCGATTTGGGGGTGCTCAACGTCTGATTTTACGTAGAACTACCAGTTTTCTCCCAGAAAGTTAATATACAGCCTATTAATATACATTTCAACGTTTAATGCTGTAAATAAACATGTAAAAAGAATAAAACTTTCAATAAATAATTTTAAAAGTGCATAACAAAATCCAAAATTCGTAACTCTAACCCTAGGTCACCGTTGATGAACCACACAAAGAATATTTTATCGTTTTTTAAATACCCAGCAACATGAAATAGACCCTCGAGGAACCGCGACATGCATGTAATTGTCGGCAGCACGACATGCACGCACTCTCACAAGACCGGTGAATATGAGAGAGAGAGAGTGAGAGTGAGTGAGAGTGAGTGAGAGTGAGTGAGAGTGAGTGAGAGTGAGTGAGAGTGAGTGAGAGTGAGAGAGAGTGAGAGAGAGTGTGAGAGTGTGAGAGTCTCAGCTTAGCTGGAAATTTACAGTGTAAGTTGAATGAACAGAGACTGCAGCTCTGCAGCTTCTCAACATTAAAGCGGAGCTACCGTGTGTAACCCCCACCCCCCCGTTCACAATCGCCAGTGCACAAAAACACACATGATTCGACTTGCTGCAGCATAGGCCCAGTAGATCATCACCAGAGATGATATGTGTCTGCTGCTATATCTAGGGGCGGCTGTGGCTCAGGATATGGAGAGCGGGTTGGACGTTAATCGGAAGGTCGGCAGTTCAATCCCGGCTCCCCCAGGCTGCATGTTGAAGTGTCCTTGGGCAAGATACTGAACCCCGAATTACCCCATGGCGGTCGAAAAAACTAGAAAGGCGCTATACAAATACGGCGCATTCATTCATACATCAGAGGATCTGCAACCAAATATTACAAAAACATAAATACTTTATGATAAGTTGTGTCCTGTCTGTGTCAGAAAATTAGGGGACTGTTTCTACACCAGCCATATGATGTGAATGTAAAAACAGAGTCAACACACGAAGAAATGTGTCATTCGTATATATTTCTGACTGCTCTGTATGTCTCATTTATGCCAAGAAACCAACCTACCGCCTTTGGAAAATGGAGTTCTTTTCTGTTTGTGACTCTTCCAGGGCTACAACAAAGCTGTGGACTGGTGGGCACTTGGAGTCCTCATCTATGAAATGGCTGCTGGTTACCCTCCTTTTTTTGCTGATCAGCCTATCCAGATCTACGAAAAGATTGTGTCTGGCAAGGTAGGAAGAGACAACCTTAGTCTTAGAGTTTCTTGTTGTTACACTCTGTCATTTCTCTGCTTGCCTTTTGACAACAAGCATCCACTTGGTATGGTTTCTCCAGCATATAAAATTAAATGGGTGAAAAACACACCGGTCTTTGTGTTGATCTTGCTTAGTAATCCATTGTTCGCTCTTGTAGGTACGATTCCCCTCTCACTTCAGCTCCGATCTGAAGGATCTGCTGAGAAACCTGCTCCAGGTGGACCTGACAAAGAGATTTGGCAACCTGAAGAATGGTGTAAATGACATAAAAAATCACAAGTGGTTCTCCACAACAGACTGGATTGCCATATACGAGAGAAAGGTAGGAATCTATTGTGTCATAACGTGTTTCTGAATCCAGAACCATGCTATGAGACATCTATTACTGTCCGTCTTTTTGTTTTTAAAAAAAGTTTAAAAGCGATCCAGTAAGATCCACACTAGCCTCATATCAAAGTTAGATTCACTACTCCAAAATATGAATATATTTGATTCATCTTTTTATATTCTTTATATGTAACATCTGTATTGATACCTTTTAATATTCTGGACAGGTCACCTTCCTCTGCATGTCTCTCTGAAAAACTAAAGCGCAGAGCGAGTTGGATGATAAATAGCTGTACTCCAAACCCAGTAAAAATACTAACTAAAAGAAAAATAATGTGTCTCAGTTACCACTTAATCTTCTGGCTTTATGACAGAAATGCAGTCCCACACCATTTACATCTGAAGCAGTTTTTATGGCTGCGGAACACTATGAGGTGGCTGCTTAGATCTTACAAGGCGGTTTAGTCTATAGACGCGAAAAAACTCAAACACTTAACTACTGAGATATAATCCTCTGAAGGCTTGATTTAATCTAGAAAGAACTTTATCAGTACTCCAATGAGGCTTTACGTCAAAATGTGTCAGTACATCATGTTAGCATATTAGTTATAAGACAAACACAAAAATAATCAAGAAATGAGGTGACCTTTTCTACTTTTGTAACTAATATCATGTGCCACCACCAACAACCTTAATCTATTTTCTGATGAGTGAATTTTAAGACCACCAATTAAGGTAAAGAATATCAACCAATGCCAATCTGCAGCCCATCAGAGCATCCCGAGTTCTAGATAATTGCCGTACTGTAAGAGCACTGACGTCCAAAGTTGGACCAAATGATTGAATGATTAACACAGCTTTAACAGAACATAATTTACATTTACTAATTAATACTTTTTTTTAAATCCCTATTTTCCACTCATTTTTAGGTTGAAGCCCCCTTCTTGCCAAAGTGCAGAGGACCAGGAGACACAAGCAACTTCGACGACTATGAAGAGGAAGACATCCGTGTCTCACAAACAGAAAAGTGTGCAAAAGAGTTTGCTGAGTTCTAGTGAGCGGGCAAGAGTCCCATCAGGGCTCACGAGTTTTGGGATATTTGCACTCACCTGAAGGTTAAGGTGGAACTGAGGCCGTCACGTGTTCTAAACAAAATGCCTCGTTCCTTCATTCCACACAGCTGAATGAGGTCTTTCTTGCCATGATCCTGCGTGCAGGTAGCACTAACCTATACACAGGCACATTATGCAGACACATCCCTCGTGCTGCAACACAAAAATACTAGATCACGATTTCATCTTTTGTCTTTTTTCTTTTGGTGTTTATGTTTTGCCATGTTTGAATAGCCTCCCTCCTCCTTATTTTAATTCAAATAATGATTTGAAAAGGAACATGAAAACTAATATTATGCCAATTTTCAAGTGGTTGATTGTATTAGCTGGTATTGCACATATTGTGATTTAAGCTTTGGGAAAATAGTAGGGATTTTTTCATTTTGGTTTGAATTTCTAAAAATGTTTGTCAGTTATCTGTCATCTGTTACATGCCTGAGTGTGTTTTAGGGTTCAGTTTGTTATTCATTAATCACAAACACTTTTAACATTAACCATTATTCATCATTCTGGTGTCCTTAAGACCTAGAACCGTGTATTTGTGCATACAGAAATATACATAGATGAGACATATGATTTTTCAAATACATTTTGTTGTTAAAGCATGACAAAAATTCAAGTGAAGAAACCAGGGTTTAGTGAGGGAAAAGCAACAACGATGACTTGTTGAAGGTTCTGAGTTTCAGCACTCTGGCATTCAGTTCTTGAAGAGATGGGTTAGCAGTGTTGTGATGGAGCAGAGTCGTGTCAGCGCTGTAGTAACTGATCAATTGTAGCATTGTTTTAACCATATCTGGTCACATGCCATTTTCTGTTACCTCAGACTAGTTGTGGTATTAAATTAATGAAATGAGATGATATATTTTTCAGGTACAACTCTGTTTCACAAGGTAAACTGAAGGGGTTTGAGCATGTCACTCCACATAGCAGGTCATCTGTCTTTGGTACGACCAGAAATGTATGAATTGCATTGATGATGGCATTTTTTTAAACAGTTGAAAGGTCAGTTTGTTAGATTTTCTTGAGAGTGTGTAGTCATGGATGAGAAGCATTGGTCACATGGACATATTTTGTCAGTTGGGCGGTTGGTTATCGATTTTGTTTTTAAAGGTTAACTGTGCTTTAGCAGAGCACTCGGAAGTCATTGTTTAACTGCCATATTTGTTTTATTTTAATTTTCACTTTTTGCATGTTCGTTACATTTGTACAGCAATGTCACAACAAGCTAATAGTTTCCTGAAAGTGTTCCCATCTTTTTCTCTTTTGGGGGGGGGGGGTATTGTATTGTTTTGTTACCTTTTTTTTAAATTAATGCATTAAATAAGCAATTTTATGTGAGTGACATATTCCTCTTCATAATCCCCTGAAAGCAAAACTACATCATTAACCATGAAATAATAACAAAAAACGGAAATATCAACACCTTAAAAGTATTCATGCATCTTGGTCACTACTTGGTCGAAACATATATGTAGCTCAGCTATTAGCTTGTAGTCTCTTTGCATCATTTTAAAAAAAAACAAATTTGTACACTGTGATGGAGCAATATTTGCTCGTTCTTCCTCGCAGAATTGCTCAGGATGAGCCAGGTCGGTTAGAGAACGTTAACAGGCACAAATGTTGTGGTCTGGTTTCAGATTATCAAAGGAAATAAGACTTTTTTTTCCCTTGTAAATCACTCCTGTTAAGTTACTGTATACATATGTCATACACATTTTCTCCCCTCAAGAGAAATCTAGGTTTTATGAGGGATTTTTTTTATACCAGGCACCATTTATTTCCCATGAATTCTGACACATTGCCGTCCTTGCTGCTGAAATGTAGTCCCTGCCTCCGCAAACTCCTCACAGGTGGACTTTTGTATTGGAACAGGTGATCATAGAATCTGTATATCACAGGTTCAATACCTACAAGGCCAAGGTGTCCACTTGTTGAACTTCCAGATGTCAGAAAAGTGCTCCTGCCTCTGTGATCCTTTGATTCCCTAGAGGGAACTTTGTCTCTGCCGTCCACACAGAGGTCAGAGTTTGAGCTCATTTCTGCAGGTCGGACACTCAGGGTTGTGGGGAAATCAGAGTTTTGCATTTCACATCTTGTTGGAAACAATAATCCATTGTCTGTCAATTTAACATCTCTTAAGTCTTCTGAAGTTTTGATCATTATTTGACTTGGTGCTCAAGTGTTTGTAGATGAGGAAAAATGCAATTTAATCAAGTTCAACAATCTTACACAACCAAATGTGAAAAGCCTTTTGGGACTGAATGCTTTTTCAAAGGTACTGATGTGCTGTATATGAATATTGGCTATGCCTGAATTTAAACTTTTTTTCCCCATATATTGTGCACATGATGTGAAATTTTTTTTAGCCCTCATTTAATTTCCAAAGGCACAACTGTTTCTTATGCTATTATTTATATGATAGATCTCTGATGAAATTACATTTTA